TGAATTCACCGGTCAGCGACTGACATTCGGCACGATTTACATCTGCACGTACCGCTGCAGCAGTGTCCCCGCCATCACCATCATCATCGTCGTCGCGATCCATAATGTATGCATCGGCTCCATCCAGGGACACGGCCTTACTTACGTGGCCATGATTGCGAGCTCGATTGCGCAGGAATTCATCATCGTCGTCGTCGTCATCTTCTAGCTCAATTACATTCCTCGCCACCCTCATCAACGCACCTCCATCTGGACTCTTAACCAAGTAGGACTTGCAACCAATTTCCGGACAGGGATGGACTACAAACTTGGACAGCTTCGGCGGGGCAGCAGCAGAAATGCTGCAGACAGAAATCCTCCCAACTTCGTCCATCACATAAAACTGTCCCCTCCAGAACACCACATCCGTGAAATAACCAAAACCATCACCATCGCGAGGAATCTCGGTCCACACTGCCGATGCTTCATCATCATCGCGGCACCTCACCATTGGCCTGCAAAACGCCAGGGTGGGATACTCTGGAGAATGTATGACCATCACAACACAGTCCTCCGATGTCGTCGGCTCGGATGAAAGGGCAACCTTCATTATGTACCTTCGCTCCATAGCCATCTTGCCACAAGCAATCTTCTCCCCGCGCATCACGAATCTGTACTCGTACCCGACCTTCTCGGGCCGAAAACCTTCCACGTGGGGGAAACTCGTGATCGGAGGCAGCCAGATCCGATCCCCTGTGAGAGGGTTCAGCAGCAGCAACGATGGGCCCCTCTGCAACATGAACAGCCAGCCGAAGCTCGAACCGCGGCAGCAAGTGGGCGTTCTCCTGCTGTTTACGAAACCTTCCGGCATCTCGACCTCGATGTGGTGGAACCGCTGCTCCGTCACATCGAGGAAGCACCTGCAGCTATCGGTACCTTTGCATCCCGCCATGGCCTCCGAGCTGCGGATCATGTTGCTGCTGCGGCAATAGGGAAGCATCAGCCATGGGACCGATTGGGTAAAATTGCGCGGCTTCTGCTTATCCTCCGCCGCTAGGGATTGTCTCCAAGGCTTGCAAACAGCTTGGAATCGGATGAAATCCTTCAATTTGATTAGAAATCGATGGGCGATGATACCCAGAATCTCGATCGGCAAAGCCGACCAATCGGGTTCGGGGATGTCGCTCATGTTCGAAGATAGGGATGGAGCAAGCGTGTCACTCATGTATCCTATTTATGGTTACAACCGCTTCCTAGTCCGTTCATCGGCAGGAATTCCGAATCCAAAATGAAATAGGACGGCCGGAGGCGGCTGCCGGGGAAAAGAAAAGAGAGAAGGACTTACAGATGATGAGATGACAGAGGATGAGAGACTCATCGGTTGGTTGATGCATGCGGAGGCTTAAAAGGTTCCGTTTTTGTTAACGGACTCTGTTTTTGTCTTTCGGGATTCAAAGAGCAGAGTTGCAGATTAGATCTAAGAAGGCAAAATACACTTCCATAGTCATAATTTTCATGTTTGTGACAAATATAGTCATAACTATAGAAAAACACAAAATAGCCAATTTCGTCCATCTCTTTGACGGTGTTAGTTAACAATCTGATTGTACTGACGAAAATGCTGACATTGCGACTTTTCGTCAGACACGTGGATTAACAAAATATATATAAATCATAAGTGCAATTTTTTATTTAATAAAATAAAAAATATAATAGAAATAAAATAGAAAACGCTTCATCTTCCTCCCGTACTCCTCTACCCCTATTCCCCACCATTACCCAGTAACCCTAAATTGTCGTCGCTGCCATCAACATCATCTTCCTCCCAGCAACCTGCAACCCACAACCTTATTCCCCACCAATTACCACCAACCCACAACCCTAAATCGTCGCCGCCACCCTAACCTATGGGAAAATCAAGAAGCAGTTGTGACCCTCACCACCACCCACAGCGCTGAACTCTCCCATTGTCGGTGGTGGGCACGGCTGTGCCGGCTGCGTCGAAGACTGCGCCACTGCGGAGGACCTCCTTGGAAGGGAACATGAAATTGGGAGGAATTTCATCGATAGAGGAGCCGAGAAGCCTAGCCACGTCGTTGGAGTCGGCGGGAGGATATGGATCCGAGTCCAGGGATGGCTTTCGGGCGGCGAGGATGGGGTTTGTGTCGAGCTTCCGTCGTAGGAGACGAATGGTGGTGCTAGCTGCTAGAATCAATCCATCATTCCTCTTTCGCTAAACCATCCAGATCTCTGCTTCCTTTTTTGGGTTCAAGGTTTCTTCTCTCGCTCTGTTCTCCTGGATCGCTTTCAACTGCTGTGAGACTCGTCGTCGGGGGTTTCTTCTGGTTTGTTCGGCGGGTGGAATGTGAATTAGGGTTATTGTTACTCTGCTCTCTCTCCGGTAGTGGTAGGGATTTTGATGCGGGAAGCTCTCCGATTGGTCTTTGAAAGTAAGTACTGGTTAGGTTTTGTTTTGGGTTTGTTTCGATGATGGATAAGCAGACCCATCAGATCCCAACTGCGAGAGAGCTGCCCAGAAGGTGTAAGTCTCGAGAACTTCCGCCGGGCAACGGCGAACCGTCAACCCATCAGATCCCAACTACGCTTCTCTTCTTCCCAGGAAGCGGCGTGGTCTCCAGCGGCGGCGGCGTGGTCTCCAGCGACGTCGTCGTCTCCAGCAAGTGCTAACACTAATTCGTGAGAATTTGATTTTCGGGGACAGGGAAGAAGGAGGAAGGGAAGGGAAGAAGAAGGAAGGGAAGGGAAGTCAACAAATTTTTTTTTAATTCTTTACGTGGCATTCCACGTGTACAGTTTGCTGATGTGTCAATGATGTGGAGGTCGGATTCCATCCTTATCAGCGTTCCGTCAAATGATTTAACGGAGTCGCAGACGGTGTTAAAATTTCTAACGGTTTTGGCTAGATTTGTCACACTACCCTTCGTTTTTGGGCTATTTGTTGTTTTCGGATAGATATGACTATATTTGTCAAAAGTGTGAAAGTTATGGCTATACAGATGTATTTTGCCATCTAATAAAGACGAAGATTGAGTGTAAGGTTAGATTTCAGATGACGCACGGCTCATTCGGTCGGTTCAGTGCGGGTCCCACCGGCTGTGACGGGTAATCAGTAATTCAGCTAACTGATCCTTTCGGCTTTTACCGCCCATAATAATATTGGTTTACGCACAACTATCTTTGGGCCAATGCTGGAATCCAAAAGCCACGCGGCCCAAAATAATTCGGCCCACCGAGTCTTGGTGTTAATAGGTAACTAAATTGGCCAGTACTACGGTGCCGCAGTAAAAAGTGCGACACCGATGCCGCTCTTTCTAATTGATCCATGTGGATCTGATGTGGCACCGAATAGTTTAGTTATACCCATATCCAAATACAGTGGCCCGTATAACTGGCCCAAACCTCCACCTACTCAAACAAACGGAGAAAAGCTCTCCGTCTTCAACTAATTTTCTATTTTCTTCATTGTTCAATTAAAATTGATGTGATTTTCACTGCATTTGATTTTCTGCAGGAACAAGAGAACAAAAAAAAAAAAAAAAAACGCAAACGCAGAGTCCAACGTTGTCTTCCGCGCTCTCCTCGCCGGTGAACTTCTCCGCCGCCGATGCAATCCCCCATGCAACCTCTCCGATTCACCTCCAATAAATTCCACTGCTCCAAAACTCTTCTTCCCCTTATTTGCCCCATTCGACGTCCTCACTCCTCAGTCTGAATTTTCGATTCTGTGATTGTCTGTTCGTTTTTCTCTGTAGGCTTGATGGGGTCTTATTGCTCAGACCAAGGTTCTATCTCCTACTTTGTTATCACGTTGGGGTTAGGCGAACTCCGCATCCCTATTATTGATCATTTAGTAATGGGGTTCCATTCATGTTTTGGGTTAGATTACAGTGGAGCAAAAATTTACTCATGAGAATGAAATGGTTCTGTGATTGTGATGCAGGTAGGCTTTTGCTTATTTCCCCAATTGGCTTTACATAGTAACACGTGGAGGATCATGGGGCTCAGCTTGGGGCTCTGTTTCTCAGATTGGAATTTTATTGTTAGTTGCTGTGTTCTTTAATTCCACTCACAAGAATGTACCTGTTAATATGCTCTGTTGGGATTGTTTTACCAGTTTACTCTACATACCAATCGCTTGAAGCGGATGATGAAACCCAACAAAGAAGTTGCTCTGTTGGGATTGTTTTGCCAGTTTTCTCAACTCCCATAACCTTAAGAGAAGAAGATTAATTCAACCCCACTCTGCTCTATTCTTTCTTTCCTCTGTTCAGCCGCCCACCAGGAATTTAAAAATTTCCCAGGAACCGAACAGATAAATAAAGAGAAAATCTCATAAACGGGACGTGGCCACCTGATGCACCACCGTCGGAAGGAACTGATCAAATTGAGAAGTGAATTACATACGACGCCAATCATTCAATTCAGGGCATGGTTGCCGTCCGTCACCACCACTGTCGCCGTCGAGTACCTTCATTTAACCCATTTCCCAATTTAGCAACGAACATGTTCCCCCTCCTCTTACTTGTATGCAGTGCACACAACATAGTCCTTTACTATAGCAGCGAAGTGAGGAAGACAATGAGGGAGTTCAGTAGAACCCGATGGAAGAGACTGGATATTGGATTGGCGACGGAGAAATCGTCGGAGTGAGAGACAGAGGAAGGCAACGCTTGGTTGGGGTTTTGTTTTTTGTTTTTTCAGGTTAATGGATAAAGGAATTGAAGAGAAAATTCAAATGAGATTCGAAAGGAATTAATGAAAAAATAACAAAGCATAACGGAGGAGAGAAGACGGAATAACGGGTTTATTGTCTGTGGGTGAATGATATGGGTTTGAGGCTTTGGGCCAGCAGGTTTGGATCGGATTAGTGCCACTTCAATTCCAGGTGGACCAATAGAAATCTGCATTATCGGTGCCGCACTTTTTAGAGCGGCACCGTAGTATTGGCCAATTGTTATGGTCAGGCAGAAAAAAAACTAAATTTGATTCAACGAAAAAACAAAAAAAAAAGTAAATTATGGGATTCCTACATTCTACAATCCGAGTATACAGCATGTGGACAAAACTTCCACAAGAAAGGAAAAAAAAGAACCATATAGAAAGAAGAGTTTCATCCGTTCAAACACTTCATCACCTAAGACGTTACCAAATTCTGGTTATGCGATCCTGATCAGTGATCACCATTATCTTCTCCGAATCAGTATAACAAGCCTACCCTTAAACTCTGCCTCCCTATTTCTCATTTTCCCCTTACTTTCCTTCTCTGTGTGAATCGGAAAGTTTTACCTTCCGATGAAGCCAAGCCAGTGAAGGAGAATTGCCAATAGCAACATGAATATAGCCAGGATCAGGCCCGGTTTGCCAAGTAACAAGTTCTTCGCCTTCTTTGCACCTGCAGCTCCTCTTTGGAGCCTATCCATCCATCTCATCTGTTGTAACAATTTCCATCAGGAACCCCATTTTCATTGGGTACCAGAAACTAAACCGAGAAAATTTGTTGAACGGAGCATAAGTAAGAGAAAAACACACCATTTTGTCCAAGTCTTCAGGGGATAGAGATGACATGGCTTGCTGAGCTTTTGCTGCATCTTCTGGAGAAAGTTGGACTCCAAACTGCTTACTCATGTTAGCAATCATATCCGGACTCATGTTTTGCATCATTGAAGTGAACATCTGGTAGTTTAGCAAATGGAACACTTTAGGATTCAATAAACTGAGAAAAGAAAAGTCCAGGACTTTGTACATAACTAGAAACGTGGAGTTCTTTTGGTCAACAAATATGCGGTTTGCTCACAGCAGTTTCCTAGGGAAGCTGGAGATTTCCTTTACCTACAAACCCAATTCTTTCTTTCCTCTAGGAGTGTAGTAGTTCATCATCGTGCTGGAAATCACAAGAGCCCACCAAAAGAAACCGAAAGGGGATCAGAAAAGCATACCTGCCGTGTCGCTGGATCATTCATTTGATTTCTCAACTGCTCTTGCAGGTCACCAGCCGAGCTTGAAAAACTTGGTTGATCACTCATTGACCTCGAAAAGAGACTGCCAGAGGAACTAGGGTCACCACTACTTTTGTCATTCAAAGAATTACTTTCCCGAGCTTCTGTAAAGTTTGAAACTTTGCTTGAACTAGATGCATGTTGACCCGAGGTTCCTCCTTTTGCAGCGGAGTCCTTTCCTCTAAGAGAGGATGCCATTTCAACCATCTTTTGAAGCTCTTCTGGTGGCATGTTGCTCATCATTTCAGAAGCGGTTTTAATCATGTCCGGGCTCATATTTGGAGGAACAGCACCAGGTCTGATACTATCAACACCATTACTGTATGGATTCCCTCCCTGGAACGAAGATGTCATCTGAAGCATTTTTTGCAGCTCATCGGGAGACATCTTTCCAATCATATTTGCAGCAGTCTTGAACATATCTGGAGAGATATCAGCAGCTTTCCCACCACTTATTGTAGCTAAAGTTTCAGGATCGGCATTGGAAATGAAATTCTGGAAAGACCTGCAAAAGGGGAGAAAATGCAATTAATTATTTGGCCAATATACAAGAGTGCCTAGTCCAAGAGAGGGTTAGACAGAAATGGATCATCACCACATCATGCAATAAGCAATATCTCAAGAGTTGATGTTCCATCAAATTTAGATTGATCTGTAGACAATCAAAGTCTTCCATGCCCCCAACTACAGAACAGGGTTTTGTTCTCAAGTTATTTCACATTCACTTCCATCCCTCAATTCAAACAGCTCATTTCTCTCAGCTGTTTAACAAAGGCAAGGAAATATTCCGTGCTTCTCAGGAAAACAGAAAAAAGTAAAACTAATAGATATCTTTTGAAAGAGAAAACAAAAGTTAACCTGTGCACAGGAAATGTATAATAGGGAAATAACATTGCACGTACAGTAGTTCCTAAGGGCCGTAGAACAAACCTTACGGCTTCTGGGTTATCTTTTAAGGCATGCAAAGACTCTGAACTGGTCATTGAACCCCCAATATTAGTCTGGCTTCCATTGCTTTCAACATTCCTCCTATACTGTTGAGGAATTTCAGGATTTCCAGAAGATGAATCTTCAGTTATCTCTTCAATTACAAGTCCTGATCCAACACAAAGATTACTGTCACTTAAAACCTTTGAAATCAAGCACAGAAAGAGAGAAAGGAACACAGGCTGGATAGAAACACAGGCAAGGAGACAAAGAATAACGTACCCTTTGGCGCCTGGTAACTACCCTGTTCTCTGAAACTTTCCTCAGCATTACTGTACAGAAATTTGCAGGAATTAGCCAAAGACAGGGCACAATGAACCTGGATGTTCAATAAAATTTGAACAGCCAAGGAGGAAAAACCAGATTGTTAAGACAAAGCCTATCTTCAGTAACGACAGGTTTGGATGCCAAACAAGTATATGCAATGATTAGGTCCAGGTCAACAGTACACTCGTGAATTACATATTAGCTTAAGAGAGCCCCAAGGCACAATACCTTAAGACAGCCGCGATAGTCTCATCATCAGGTGAAAGTTCATGTGCTTTAGCCAAATCAGAGACAGCATCCTAAAGTCACGTATAAGTTCGCCACGCTAGATTAGAATACGCTAAACAAACTTAATCTTCAGAGAAACTCAATAATAAGCTGGAATTTTTTCTTACTACAGACTTACTCGCAATTGTCCAAGTTCTTTGTAGGCTTGACCCCTACGATAAAGAGCCTTGACATTCTCACCATCATATGCCAACACCTAAAATAGACATACAAAAGATAGTTCTAATAAAAAAGAATTGCAAATGAGAAAATCATGGCGATATGGTATAGAGTAAAGAAAAAAGTTCAGTTCTTCCAGGCTATCAGGAAAACAAAAGAAGAAATTTGTTCTCAAAAAAACCAGTAAGGAATGAACCAAAGAAGACCGTCTTCTAATATTCTCTTCCCTCCTCTCATAGATCAACTGCTCACTACCCGAACCTGTCCATACCTCTGTTCCTTCTTTAATGCACTCATCGTATTGTTTTGTCTTTAGGTAACAGGACATCAGATTGAGAGAGCATGCCAATAAAAGTGCATTGCCTTTGGAGGCTGTGTTTCCTTTAAGATTCTTCTTTGCCTAAGATACCAACAAAGGAAGTAGAGGCCCATCAACCTCTTGGGGAAACAATTCATAATCTCTAACAAAATCTATTCTTGCAGCAACAGGAACAGTGACAGAGAAAACAGAAAAGGATGGGGGACACTAACAAGCAAATATTTTTCTGATGCCTCGCTGAATTTTCCCTGGCTGTGAAGTTGATTACCCTGCCAAAATTCCAGTGACAATTATAAAACTATTAAGTAGATGCACTCCGTAGTTAGTACCTATCTAAGTATGTGTTGGCTTTCTGAAAAAGACACTCAGACAAATAATTGGAGTAAATAGATATACAAGAACGGAACGAAGGGAAATGATCCATCTTTAAGGGGCCTCTCACCTGTTTCTTCAACATTTCAGCCGCATTCATTTCGTATGTAGCCTGAGAATCAAGCCGAGCACGCATAGCTGCTATCTCTTCTGGCGATGCAGTAGCCATCTTCTCACCAATCTCAGCCATCTCATCAGGACGTGTATACTTTAATTGCTCTGCCGCTTGCCTCAAGTCTTCAGGTCTCATGTTCTTCATGCTTTCAGATGCCATTTTCATCAAATCTGGATTAGAAAACATCTGCAAAACAAAAAGCAAGTGAACCCCAAGGCATACTGATAAAAGCAGCACACAAACTTGTAACCAATAAGCTCGATTACACTATAGCAAGTACACATGCAAGTCATGAACCATTAATCCCATCGATATTGAATACCCAATATCACAGGTAATAGCCCCAATAGCAACACAATTCACCTCATGCTTGGGTTGATAGAGTAACAGTTATATCAATCAAAATGTTGCCCAAATCAGAAAAGCAGTAAAAGTTGGGGACCAGCAAGAACGTTCATTCATTATCCTAAACATTCTGCGAAATCGAAATTCACCCATTCACCATCACAGAGAAAGGAACAGAATTGAAAATCCAGCTCGGTGATCAGACGCCAAAATCTACCAATTCGCTGCTATAGTAAAGAGGGGAAGACAGCGAACCTGCTGCTGGATCTTGGCTAACTCGCCAGGCGACATCCGACTCATCTGCTCCTGAGCAAGCTTGATGAGCTCAGGATCCATCATTCCGTTGAACATTCTCCTCTTTCCCCCGCCAAGACGATGCCAATTCAACCTCAGGAAACTCGATTCAAACCGAAGATCGCCGCAAAATAAATAAAAGACGATCCCAACTCCCAAGTAGAAAGAGAGCGAGTTACGAATTCAGACAAGATTGGGAGAAGGGAAGCACCGCTCGCACACTAAGAAAAACAATTTCGAATTCCGTGGACTCTTTCCTTTTCCTCTCCCTCCCAGAAAACGAAGTCCGAGCGAGAAACAGAAAAATGTCGAATAGGAAAGAGATGTGAGAAGGGATTCTGGTCAGATTCTTATCCAATCGATTTTCCGACGCCGGCGTCTCTATGTCGCCAAAAATACCTGAGATTGACAATTCAATCGGGACAGCGATTGATTGCCCGGCGGTGGGTGGTGGAGAAGAGCTTTGTTAGGAAAGGAGAAGGAGCGAGCCGGGAACTTGGAAGGTCGAACAACCGTAGCTTCTGGAATTTGAATTTTACTCTTTTCACCCTGTTTGAACTTCCAGTTAGTGGAGAGCTGACGTGGCATGCACAAGGTGATTTTACTTTACTGGGAATGAAACTGACTTGTCGTTTTGTTGTCAAAGCTAGACCAACAGTTGGTTAGGTTGAACCGATGGTCAGTTCGAATAGTTGATAGAGCAGAGCCAACCCGACGGTTAATTAGATCTTCACAAATCTTGAAATGTCATATTACGACCTAGACGGAACTCGGAAGGAAGACTCCGTCGCCTCGAACCTCCACACCTCTTTGCTTTTCTCCCCCGCAGCAAAAATGGCGTCGAGGGTCGCAATTCTGAGAAGCATCGTCGGCAACACCGGGTGCAGCACTTCAGGATCTAAGCGTTGGGTACACAATGTCGCCGCCGCCATCATGACTCCGTCGTTGAGCAATTGCCTCCACCATCCGTCTCTTCCTCCGCCTCTGCTGTTTCCGTGGTCTTTTCCGAACCCGGGGAGGGATGGCGAGTGGAGAAACGACGTGGGAATTGGTGGCGATTTGGGAGGATTAGGGTTCCCGGGTTTCCCTGGCGGCGAAGCCATGGAGCTAGCTGTTCCTAAGAGAAAGGTGAGAACTTTCTCTCCGTTTTTTGCTTCTTTTCTCACTGTTGATCCTTACCCTTCATTCGGCAGAGAATCGAACTTTGCACTGCGTATATGTGAACAGAAAGATTTGATTTTTTTAATGTGTGAGATTGAAGATTTGGGATGGTGGAGTTATCTGTTGTCTTGTGGATCTGATTAGGGTTTAGGGTTTGGGGTCTATGTCAAATTCTTGCTCAGTTTTAGGGTTTAGAACTTTGCAAATGTCTAGTTAGGATGACAGCATTTCTGTCCTGCATTACTATCTGATTATGTTATTGATCATCATGTTCTCTGTACCAATCAATGCAGGTTACTCCACATAAGAGAGGGATAAGAAATGGGCCAAAGGCTTTGAAGCCAACACCTGTGATTATTCGCTGTCGGTAAGGGATTACACATCTCTCTCATGCTTAATGATAGTGGGATTACTACTCCATAGTCTTACCTTATAATGATTGCTGGAAGTTCCAAGTTTTCATCAGCTAGTTTGAGTTACGCATTTGGAGTTGAAGCTGGGCACGATGTGTGGAGAAAGTCAGATTATTGATCACCATTGTGAAAATTTTGAATCTTTATGAAATGTTTGAGCTTCTTATTTATTGAACTTCAATTTCCTGAGTGCGGAACATAGATATGCACTTTGAGTTGTTCTGTTGGCTGCTGTAATTGAAATTCGGTGTAGAATGTCATGAAAAACTTCTGCTTCGTGTTTCCCTCTATTGTACTGAGAGTTGCCATGAAATTGAATGCCACGATCTTTGAAAATAGAGTTCAAACCAAAATGACATTCTTTTCTTCTTCGAAAAACTGTTTTGCTGTTTGAAATGAGTGTCTTGGCCCTCATGAGGGTAAAATATTTCCTCTTCAACATAAAACAATGCTTAAACTTTTCCCTTGTCTGATAACATATGCATTTGTGTCCTGTTCGTGCAGGGTTTGTGGCCGTGTTAAGCTGCCACACTTCTACTGTTGCAGTGGACGCAAGGAGACCGTGAACGAGAAAAATGGCTAAAGGCGTAATACAATGAACCAAGTTCTCTATGTGAAGCAGCTTAAGGGATTGAAGATCTCAGAGCTAAAGCGAAATTCTTGTAGGCCTTTCCCCCCTTGTTATCATTAGAGCTTCTGCAGAGATATCTTTACTTGCTGGTGGTTGTGCTTCATTTGTTTTGTTCTGTTTCCTAGAAATGCCCAAACTTCCTATCAATAAGTTTCATCACCCCCCTTTTCATGTTCAGAAGATCATTATCTGTTGTGGCGACACCAGCTTGCTTAGACTTGTAGCAACTGAAGTGGTTTAAAAGATTTTAGTGTTGGGCTGAGATTTGATGCCTCGTTTACACAACTGAATTCTGTGTCAAAATCCAATGGCTTTATGTAGCTTAAAGTTACTTCAGTTCTGTTTAGAGGCTCTCTCACTCAATGTAGATGACATTAAGGCAAGCCTTTCAGTTATAGTTACAGTTTAAAGTCTCGCTCAATGTGGATGCCATTACTGGTCTCAGATAGCTGTGCGAGGAAATAAGGAAAGCTCCATATGCTGACCTTTGACCATTTAAAGGAAAATGATCCAGCCTTTTCGAAATGATCCCGAATTTGCATCCAATGTTAACAGAGGGATGAAGCATGAACACAATCTGAATGATGGTGATTTTCGTCACTATAGAAGATTTTGAATTTGGACCATATGTCCAATTGATCAAAGGAGCATGTAAGGTATTTAGCCTTAAGCCAGAGTCGGAAGAATGAACACCCTAACTATGAAGTCTTTTCCATAATTAGATTGAGATACATGATGACAGATTGATCCAAGTTTAAACAGAGCAACAATGTCAAGATTTGACTAACGAAAGGAAACAAGTTTATTTGGGAAAACGAAGCTGCCAAACAACAAACACCGAAGGCAAACTCCACAATTCAACTGGAATTCTCAGCAATGAACCTCTTGATCACTCCCATCAGCTTCTTAGCAGGTTCGGCTTCAGGGTCAATGGTGAAGAACCCATGTTGCTGGCCTTCGAACTCGACGTATTCGATCTTCTTCCCCATCTCAGTAAGCTTCTCTGCATAAACTTTTGCACGATCTTTCAGAAGATCACTTCCCCCAACCACTACCAGGACCGGATCAAGAGCCACCGGTTCCAGATCCTTGCTGCTCGGCCCAAATGGGTTTATCAATGGGTGATCAGTTGTGTCTCCAACAGGAACTGACAGTCTCCAGAACCTTATTAACACAACACAATTCGCAGTCAATTTAACATACCAAGAAAACAGAGTACTTGAACTTTCAGAAAGAAAACAGAGTCTCTCGCTTTCAGTTACCAAACCTGTCAATGAGCTCCAAATTCAGAAACGCATCCACAGGCCCATTAGCTTCCGACTCGAACAAAACCGTCCCGCCGAAAAACGGCGCCAGAAGCACATAACCCTTCACCACGACCGGACCCAATTCAACCGACCCGGCTCCGACCCTAACCGCCAAATTGTGAGCAATGTTCCCGCCGGCAGAGTCACCGGAAATGAACACGTTCCCAAAATCCGCCACATCAGTCAGCCACGTGTCCGGCTCTTCCGCCAGAGCCTGTCCCTGAAGCCACTTCAGAGCCGTGTACCCGTCCTCAATCGCCGCCGGGAGACGGTCCTCCGGCGCCAGCCGGTAGTCGGGGGCGATCACCACCGCCTGGAGCTCGGTGGCGAGCTTGAAGCAGTAGTTCTGGCAGTTGGGCCAGGTCCGGGAGCCGATGCAGAAGCCGCCGCCGTGGATGTAGTAGAAGATTGGGAGCTTTGTGGTGGCGGCGGTGGTGGGGAGTGAAGTGGGTTTGTAGAGGCGGAGTTGGAGGTTGTTTGTAGGGTCAAAGACTGAATCTTTCCACTCGACGGCGGCGTTTGGGGTGATTGGGACGTTGAAACTGGGCTGGGAAGAGCGCCAGATTGTGCCGTCTTTGTATACTCGGAGGACTCCCCTGCAATCTTCGAAATCGGTGGGAGTGGTTTCTGACATTTTTGGGTTTTGTGTGAGAGAGGATGGTTGGAATTATAGGAGGAAGTTGGCAGGGGATTTTGATGTGTAAAAGAGGAAGTTTAGATACTTCTTTTATGGCAAGGGAGTTAGTCTACGGATTTGGGTCCGATATTCAGTATTTTTATACGATCAATCAGTGTGACTGTGTTTTTTAAATAATGGTTTATTATCGTAATTTTATGTTCATTTACACGAAATTGGTGTTATTGCAATTGTGATGGTTATTACTTAAAAGGTAATGGTTATTCATGCAATCTAATATTTATTCACACATGTTATTTAAGTTTGAAAAAATATCAAAATGAATGTTATTGTGTATATCAGTGTTCAAGAAGACGCTAGGCGAGGAGGCACCGCCCAGCGCCCAGGCCGATTAGTCGTTGCATAGGCGAGATTAAACGTTGAAAAAAAAAATGATAAATAAGCCACATTTCACAAAAACCCAAGTCGCGTTATCATTATTCATCCATTCATATAAAATTACAACCCTTTTCCACAATCCCAAACATCCCAAGTCCCCAACCATGGGGAGGGATCTCGCTGCTCGAATGATGAGGGGGAGCGGCTGGTCGAATGGAAATTGGAATGGGAAATAGAATAGGGTTTGGGATTTCCACAAAAAGGCTACACTTTCCCCCTTTATTAGTTGTTTTGGGCGTCACCCACTAGACTGAAAACGCGCCTCCGAGCGCCTAGGCACCGATAAGGTGTTTTCCATGGAGATTAATTGTTTATCACGCCTAGATCAATCGCCCAGGGCTAGACGAGGTGATTTCCTCCTGCCTAGCTATTAATCGCGCCTAGGCGAGAGATTAATCGCGTCTTCTTAAACACTGGTGTATATTATGATCAATGCAACTCATTTCTTAAACAAAAATTGAAAATCAAAATTTAACTCTATAAAATATAACCAATAAAAATTATTGGAGGGAAAAAAATTATAATTCCATTTACGTGAATAACCACCATTCTTACATGAATAATCAGTAAAGAATCTCTACCATGTGTGAATTAAATGTTAGAACTCCTATAAAGACAAGGAACCTTTTTCTACTTATCGAATCAAGACAGAGGAATGCCAAAGTAGTTGGGTTTTCGTTAGAAAGTTCAGAAAATATGGAGAACTACCCAACAAAGGAATGCATGATGGTTTGGTTTCTTTCACCTTCATTTGGTTAATTGCTTCAGGTAATGATGAAGACAAAACAAAAGAGCTGGTGGCAAAGGTTCTTGTCTTGTCTGCGTGACAAACTTATAATGATAGTGGATTAGGTCCCTCCCTGTTATTAATCCCACTTAGCCGGCCTCTAATGCTTACAAAATGGTGATGACTTCTTTTTGTAGTGTTGTAGGGGTCGTTTGTTGCACAATAGAATCACGGGCTTAAAAGTTGAAGGAACTTAAACAGATTTCAAAACCCATAATATTGTTTGTTTGTCAAGGATGACAAGTGGCCTTTCTATTTAAAAATTGGAAAGTGAATGTGTAAAATTCGAATAATACGGAATATAATTAGAAACGCGAACATAATGCGCGAGATTTACATGATTAACCTTATAATTAGGGATTACTTCATGAGATACATATTACTCTTCGTTCGCTGTTATTCAAGCTTTACCGGTGCTCTCGCTCTTGCTTGTGTTTTGCGTTTGTTTTGTATCTTATAGCCGACGAACACTTACAACCAGTATTCTAGGGTTCTCGGATAATTACAAGCTAATTGTGAATGATTACATAGACGCCCTACCAACTCTTACGAATGTACCAATGAAAGACACTAATGTAACTAAGTAAATAACATGATGGGTTGCTACGAAGTTGGATCATCAATGTTTGATATTTGTTAATATTCGTTTTGATCACCAAATTTGAACCAGAAACTCGCGCATTTCTTGTCGAGTTATCTTTAAGCCTGATGATTTGTAAAGACTACAACCACGATTTATTTTAACCCGAGATCATATAGTTGGTAGTTTATAAAGTCAACTATCAGTTGGAGACGAGTATATACCCTTACCCTTTTAGCAATTAATGTATTAGGTTTTGCCTAGCATTAGTGGCCGGACGGTTCATATGTAATTAACTATGTATTAGTTCCAAAATGGATATCAAACACAATTAGCAAATGTGATCAAAGGATCAAAATACAAACACAATTGCAAAATGCACAACCTGATCAAGAGAACAAAACAACAAGAAAAAAAATAACATGCACGTAGGATTAATGCGAACATCACCACTGGAAAACAGATAACAAACTCAATTTAGGTTGAATTCTCGCCGACGAATTTGCTAATCAAATTCATCACCGACTCTGCTGCTTCCGAGTCTGGATTAATGCTGAAGAACACATGTGGCTGTCCTTCAAATTCAGCATATTCAACCGACTTTACCAAATTCTTCAACTTCTCGACGTAGTCTCTGATACGATCGACGAGAATATCACTCCCGCCGGAGACCACAAGAATCGGATCCATCTCCGCCGCTTCCACGGCTTTGCTCCTCGCTCCAAATGGGTTCACCAGAGGATGGTCGCACGTGTCTCCCTCCGGAATCGAGCATTTCCATAACCTATATAATACATCCATGGAATCGTACCATATCAAAAATAGTTATAGTAAAAATATGAAACTAGATTATACCGGAAATGTTGTTGGTAGGGTATTATGAATTAAAATCGTGATTTAATCATGGTTCGACCGTTTCTTGCCGTCAAAATCGTCTATGATTTGGATTCGGTATCGGATATATCCAGTCCAACGGACTGGTATGGTTAAGGCATGTTTACTTTCATTTCTGTTTCCTGTTTTTTAGAGAAAACAGAATGAAAAGTAAACAAATTTTTCTCGTTTCGGTTGCCAAATTTAGGACATGAAAACAGATAACATGAAACGGAAAATGGAAGTGAACAAGACCCTAGGGTTTCTTAAACATTGTGAATATATATGACGTTTTAACTGCTTAACCTAACGCGATCCATGCATACGGTAAGAAAGTGGCTACATATCATACACGGACCTCCCAACAAATCGAGTTATTGAAACTAGCTAGTAATTGGTTTATGATGAACATGGTATCGGAACTGGTTTGTTTTTTAGGTCACGTGTGCAAGACCTCACGACACCAATATTAACCTGTTGTCTTTAAAGCATATGATATGGCGGATCTAAGCAAATTCTAAATCCATTAGTTGACTTTCGTTCGAGAATGTGTATAAGAAAGTGATTAAGTACTATATATGAACCTCTTACAACAATTCGAATTATTGACACAAGCAAATTTTAAATCCATTAGTTGGCTTTCATTTGAGAATGTGTTTAAAAAAATGGTTAATTATTATTATATAGAAACCTCTTTCAGCAATTCGAATTATCGACACCCGCGGCTACGAGAACTTAAAAAAGAAAAAAAACTTACCAGTCAACGAGTTCAAGGTTGAGCATAACATCTTTGGGAGCCTCGGCTTCCGATCTGGTCCTCACCGTCCCTCCAAAAAACGGCGCCAGCAGCACATACCCCTTCACCTCAACCGGCGCCAGCTCCGGCGACCCGGCTCCAAGCCTCACCGCCAAATTATGAGCAATGTTCCCTCCCGCCGACTCCCCACAGACAAACACATTCCCAAAATCCGCCACGTCACCCAACCATCCATCTCCCTCATCTCCACGTCCCTCGGCTTGATCCTGGAGCCACTTCAGAGCCGCGTAGCCGTCCTCGACCGCGGCGGGGAGCCGGCTCTCGGGAGCCAGCCGGTAGTCGGGCGAGACCACCACGGCTTGGAGCCGGGACGCGAGCCGGTAGCTGCAGTTGTGGCTGATCGGGTCGGCTCGGGAGCCGATGCAGAAGCCGCCGCCGTGGAAGTTGTAGATGACGGGGAGCTTGTTTGAATTGTTGTTATTAGGCAAAGTGGGTTTGTAGAGGCGGAGGGAAAGGTTGTTTTGAGGGTCAAAGGTGTAGTCTTTCCACTGGACGGAGGAGCCGCCGCCGTCGTCGTCGATGACCGGGACGTCGAAAAGGCTGCCCGGAGAGGCGCGCCGGACCGAGCCGTCTTCGTAAACTGTGAAGAGTCCGAGGCTGTCTTCGAATGCAACGGCGGCTTCATCAGACATTTTGCCGGAGAGGAAAGGATTAGGAGAATTAGGACAATAATGGGAGAAATTAATGCCACTCGATCGTGATTTGTGATCCATAATCAATCGCCGGTCTTATTATATACACACACACATCGACTTAGGTCTATAGGTAGTTTCCGGCACGGCCGGCGTTTGAAGTTGTTGACCGGTCTTTTTTGCCGGCGAGCTATATATATTTATTTGCTTGCTTGAAAATTGGAACAACTAATTTGATTATTTGAGGCCGCCCTCCTTTATATGCCATGAATTTAATTTACTACGACGCTTAAACACGGAAAACTCTTACGTCTTACCTCCAGATTGGACTCAGAAGTTCCAACTATGATTCACGTATCAGTTTGTTATTGGTGAATTCACCTTTTTTCCCCTTAATATTTAATGTTTTTAATTATCGTAACTAAATCAATAATTAAAATATAAAAAAGAAAGATGAATTCACCAATAAGAAACTGACATGTGGCTGGTTGGAACTCCTGCATTCAACTAAGATTGAAGCTAATAATTTTTCACTAAACACTTATCATTTAAATATTTTATATTAACCGGCATTTACTCAAATTGTCGTAGTATATATCGTAATAGAATATATATATATATCCGGCTTTCATATTTGACCTGCACATAGAAATATGCAACTAACAATTTAGATGTGATTTTTAAAGAAAATAATAAGACCGAATAAAGCACATCATGCAATAGCCGTGTTTTGGTTGTTAAAGCAATATAAAAACTAGAAGTAACAGAAATGATGTTTTAGCTTCATCGTTACTATTGAATTCAATCAATCAATTTTATACCAAAGTAAGATAGTCTAACGGTAAATCTGCCGCGTCAGTGAAGAATTGGGAGTGGAAATCTCAGGTTCGAATCCAAGCGAGGCATGTTGGTGTTCCTGGAGGTACAAGGCTGTTGGGGGGTGTTCCCGGAGGTGAAAGTCTGCTGGGGGCGAAGCCCCGTTGGTAATCGAAATTGATTGCAGGTGGCCCCCAGGTTTAGTAGGACCCGCTGTCACAAAGACGCACGTGGGGCTAAGGTTCCTGGGTAAACATTCCTAATTTTCACTACTCTTCTGCTCTTATTTAATCCAATAAACCACTTATCCATCGTGACATCATAATTGGAGAAATTGTTATCCGACAAACCCACACAATTGCAACAGAATTAATCTGTTATGATCATGTAGTTTACTCGGATTTTAGTAGCTACTCAAGTTCGATTTGATCAGTATCCTTAGTTGGTACAAGGATATGCTTGCTATATATGACTGACACCGGCAACAATCGTTGGATTGCAGGAAAAAAAAACAATCCAAGAAAGTAAACACATCCTTGCACTTAACTCCACGAATACTTTAGCCAAATTCACTCATACTAGCATAACAAGAAACATGATAAAACTAACAAAAATATGATTTTCTCAAAGACACACCAAACACCAAACTTTGAACCATCAAATGTGTACAAGTCAACGAGGTCCAGGATCCGATCTTTGGGAGCCTCAGTTCCCGATTTGGTCCTCACCGTCCCTCCAAAAAGGGGCCCAATAACATATATCACTTAACCATAGCCGAGCCCAATTCAGACGACCCGGCCCGAAGCCTGACAAGCAAGTTATGACTTATGAGCAATGGTACCTAGGGTTGGAAAACGATGCGGTTTGGTTCAGACCAAACCATATATGCGGTCTATGATACATATCGAGAGACAGGAGTATAAATCAGAGATCATACCATGAACTATATGGTCCAGATCAAACCACGCATGTGCGGTATGGTCTGGTACGGTTTGGTCCAGATAGACCATAATGAACGAAAAATTAACATTTGTTTAGTCAATCACATAAAAAATTGAATCAATAATAGAGATTTTTTTTTTGCGTTAAAACATAAACTTCAACATGCATGAAGAATTTTGACGCCTTAAATCTCTATAAACAACAAAAATACAAAGTCAAAGCATACCAACTTGCACCATAACGTCATAAACACTAACATAATGTCACATGAATACATGATCGTCTCTACTATGTTGAAAGTGGTTGTGAAAGAAAGGGGGCAGGTTTCTCAAAATTAGGGTTGAGACTTGGGTATTGTTGGGAGGAATCGGGAGAGTGGCCGAGCGGGCTACTAACAAGTATTGGGAAGTCAATTGGGTCCACGGTTTGGTTCGGTAAACCACAAAACATCATATAATACAAATCATGGACCAGACCAGACCATTCTTAATGATCTACGTTCCGAACCAAACTGTACGATCCGATTTGGTCCATGGTTTTTCAAACGATCTGATCTATTTTCCCAGCCCTAATGCTACCTCCCCCCGATCTCCTGAAACGAACACCTCACCAAAACCCACCACCTCACTCAACCACGTTCCCTCTCCAGCCAAGGCTTGATCTCGAAGCCATTCCAGAGCCGTTTGACCGTAGACTAGTCTTGTCTTGGTCATTCGGAAGAAGGAAATCGTGTAAATTTCGTCTCGATTTTAATTCAGTTTTTATTTTGACTATCTTTATGTATCGATTACTTGGTGTATATGATCTTTTTGTGATTGATCTTCTGTTTGAAGTATGATGATCTTATATGTTCTCTTAAACATATGGTTATTGAATCTATGTAAACTCCGAGTCCATATAGTGCTTGTCATTTGACGGGGTGCGTTAGACTGATAGTAGTAAGTGTATTATGGTTCATATTAAACCTTTTTCAATAAGTCAAATTATTGGAGCAAAAAACACTACAAAACAAAATACAAACAGCAGGGGTTTTTTCAGTTTTAGCGACGGAAAAAACCGTTGCTAACTACCCCGTCAGCGGTTTTAGTAACCGCAGCATAACCGCCGCAACATTAACCGCCGCTAGTTTATGGCAAGGGTTAGCCCAACCGCTGGTGAATGTTTTTGCAGCGGTTTTTGCGACGATTTTTACCATCGCTATTGGTATTTTTCCCCCTCTCAAATTTGAAATTTTGAAGCGGTTGCTGATGCTTTTGCGACGGTACTGAAACCTCTGCTATAGGCCACTTTAGTCATACTTTTTAGAGCACCACCTACAAGCCTCTAGTGACGACTTTTAGCAACCATTTTTAGCAACCATTTTTAGCGACCAATTTTAGCATTGTCACTAAAATATCCATTACTATAACCTGCTGATAAATGTCAATAACCCTGCAATCTGCCGCAACAATTCAAATTTTCAAGACATATCTATATGTACTTCAACGTGTACATTACTCATATCCCATGCCACAAAATGCTAATTTCCATAGTGCATATTACTTCCAGAGTACAACTAGTAGCTCAATCAAAGGAATAATATTGAACTATGATAAAGTTCCAGCAAAGATAAATTTCCAGAGTGCAATTTGCATCCAATATGCTAGAGCTGTTGTCTCCTTCCACAGATCAATCTCAAAGCTAGCCTGACAAACCCTGTTATAAATGGAAGGAAATAAAGTAGAATTTTAAAAACAGAGTTAAAACAATTAAGTTGATGATGTTCCCTAGATATCAGTATTTATGAGGGTGGCAGAGTGTGAGAAGAGACCTTGATGAGGCAAAAAATCAACATGACTTGAACCAATCGAACTTACAGAGATGTAGTTACGTATATTTACTTACTTTGGTCAGCCCCGTGTAGCACTCTGGCTTGATGAAGATGGTGCACGGAATGAACCTTCAATTGGCCCCTTCTCCCTACAAAGATGTTGCAAGATAAATGCCTTCAATGTGTCTACTTCCATTTGCAGCTGTTCCATCCCACTTCCCAACCGACCCACTTCAGTTTTCAGTTCTACCACCTCACTTTTCAGTTCCACCACTTCACTTCTCAGTTCAACCACTTCAATACCTAGAGCGACTACCTCATTAGAGCACAATGTCGTGGTAGAACTTGTTCAAGCTGAGGAAGAAGAAGGCCCAAAATAGGTTGATGGGGTTGGTCCCAAGCCAGCACAACGAACCCTCCCAGGATGCTCTGGACCTAGTAGCTTCTGAAAGATTTGTTCATTATCAGCAGACCCTTCCTGTTGAAGAGTATGCGCCTTTTCCTACACAAAATTCAGCAAAGTTATATCACTTGAACCAAATAAATAATTAGTATAGAAAAGAAGAAGAGGAAGACAGATGAAAAGTTGAAGTTCCAAAATAATGCAGTAGCATTTAGAACCAGCAGAACCCTATAACCGAGTGCGAAAATAGATGAGCTAAACCTACTACATCTCTGGTTAGAGGAGTGACATCTTTTCCACTCTAGAAACGTGATTTCAAATGAGCTAAATATTAAATTTCTCTCTAGAAAAACCAGCTGGCAGTTTCTTTATCAATCAAACAAGCATAAACCATAAGCACAGTACTAGAACAATCTGTCCTACCCGAAAAACAAAAAACAAATGTTATATCTTCACAAGCCAAATATAGTTCATAATGAAACTAAAATAGCGCCTGAAAGTAAAATAGAGATCAGTAGCAGTAAGGCAGGAAGATTCTGAAAACGAAGTATGTTCAAGTAAAATTTAAAGGAGGAGGATCAAGTAAAAAAGTAAGAAACTCTTACAATTAGGGTTGTGAAGTAGAAAAGTTAGGTATACTAGCTCTAGATGTCTCTCCGTGAAAAATCCAATACGAATATCCTCGTAAAAATCCATCACAAATGAGGTGAACTCGAGCATTCTCACACGTTTGAAAATTAACGTTTGCACAACGAATGCATGGACACAAGATTTTCCCTTCTGAAGATGCATTTTGGAATGCAAAATCAAGGAAGTATTCTACCCCTTCCTTGTATTCACGACTAACCCTAGACTTGTTCATCCAACTCTTGTCCATTATGCTGAACATAAACTGAAATCCAGCATATACCTAAAGTGGGAAAAAAAATTCACGGGAATGAATTTATCTTGAGAATAATGTTTATATTTTGTGACCTTGTTAATTAATTCAAAGGAACACTGTTAATATATAATAGATTCTTATTATTAGTTGGAAGATGGGAGGGAGATTTTCTGGGATTGGAGTTTTTTCTACTGTTTTCATCTTGTACTCTCAAACCGAGAGAGTGAATGGAAGTCTTTTAGTAGGGAAATCAGTTGGAGTGAAGGCAATGGGATAATTTCTAGTGTATGAACAATGAGTAGGGCAATGCTCATGTTACTTACTATACACTCTGTAGCAACAAACAACAAATTCAAAGGAAAACCTGAAATTAGAAGAAGCGTACCTTATAGGAGCTGATTATCGTGAGGAAGAACGAGACAAATACTGAGTGCAAAATCCCTCTCTTAGCCTAAAATATTCAGAAAGAAACCAAACAAGAATTCGTCAATGTTGGGCAGCTGAACATATGATAGGATATTCAGAAAGAAACCAAACAAGAATTCATTTTATCTATATCTACCACAAGGAAAACTTTAATTTCCAGAACACTATATAATTGCTTTATGAAAGGTCAGAATTCAGATCTTATCACTTATACTACCTACCAGCAGTTTAGCTACTTAAAATGGGTTACAAGAATCAAAGAGCAAAGCAGAAAAGAAGCAGAAATTGACAGTGTTTCTTTTTTGTACAACACAGCTAGTAACTCAAGCTTGCATATAATTCAAGCTTAACTCTCACACATCCACACCACAGCTAGTAAGTAAGTTGGTTTTAATCTTTTGAGCAAGTTTTGGTACTAGTGAAGTAGACTTCCAAGCATGCCGAAACCAATATCAAAATTAACAGGTTTCATGGTTAACACTTTCCCTTAAAACCACCTACACTACAGGTTTCACACTTAGTTAGCTGGTTATACTCAAAACATGATCAATTTAGAAGTTAACCAAAGAATTCAAGAGACACTTCATAACCTAAGAATTATGGAATCATAACCATGAGATCAGTTCGGTCATAAATCATTCATATACCTTAACTATGGTGATAGAGTTCTATTATTAGCGAGAGCATAGAATCAATAGAAGAGGAAGAGCGATGGACTCACACAAGTCGACAAAATTCTCAATCAAATCTCGCCGATGTTGTTGATGTTGGTGAACGAAATTCAAATGTCGCCGTTATCCACTTCTCTCTAATTTGGACTCTACATTTTCAGCAATCCACGCGCACAATCAAATCTCCAAATCCAAAACTGAATAAGGCTCAAAATTAGGTTAGAGAGAGTACCAGAAGATCGAAAACTGTGTTCTCCGTTCTTGGTCGGCGGAGAAGATGAATGACGGCGGAATCTCTGGCAAGATGAGGAACACTAAAATCCCACACTGACGACGCGCCGGAGTTGAATTTCGCGGAGAAAACCACTGAAGGGGGAATCCCTGGCAAGAGGAGCAGCACCAAAAGCTAACACTGACGACGCGCCGGAGTTTAAGGTCGACGGAGAAGATGACTAAAGGCGGAAGCTCGGGCAAGAGGAGTAGCACCAAAAGCGCACGTTGACTACAGATCGGAGTTCAAGGTAGACGGAGAAGACGAATGAAGGGGAAGCTCGGGCAAGAGGAGAGCTCTTGCTCGATAGAAGTCATTTTCCAATTGATAAAATTTCCCAATAATGTTTCTTTTAGAAAAAAAAAAATATTTTCCATTATTTTAAAATTGTGTTGTTTGAAAAAGAATAAAAAAAATGTGTTGGGCTCTCAACAGGGGTATAAAAACCGCTGGACCAGACTGCTGCCAAAAGTGTACAATACAAAGCCCAGAAGCGGTTGTAGAAACCGCTGAAAGGGAATCCCTGCCCTTGGCTCATTCTCTTGTAGTGAAAGAAAAGAGTTTCATGACAGAATCACCAAAGCCCACAGTTACATTTTCTTTAATGGCGGATGAATAACAAAATGAGTAATGCATAGAATTGATACAGAAAGGCGACCAAAATTAAACACAATGATCGCCAGAAGTGAAAGGAACCCGTTACGATGAACTCAATTTTGCATGAAACCCAAACGACACTAATTTCTTTGGCCAAAAAAAAAAAACAATTAGATCATTATTCAGTCCGAATTCTCGGTGACGAATTTCCTAATCAGATCCATCACCGACCTCGACGCTTTCGACTCTGGATCGTAGGTGAAAAATCCATGCACCTCTCCTTCAAACTCTGCATACTCAACTCTCTTTCCCAGCTCTTTCAGCTTCTCGGCGTAGTCTCTGATGCGATCGACCAGAATGTCGCTTCCACCCGAAACCACGAGGATTGGGTCTAGCTCCATCGGTTCAACCAGTTCGGTCCCGGCTCCAAATGGGTTCGCCAACGGATGATCGCACGTGTCTCCAACTGGGATCGAGTATTTCCAAAACCTTCAAAAAATGGGTAACCACGACATATGTGATATATGCATGCATGCGGATCCAAAAAGGAAATGAATCAGAAACTTCAACCGGTTATAAGCAAATGCCACTAGTTTAGCCAGAACCAACCGGTTAAAATTTCAAACGGTTCGACAAAATGATTCGATCGTTATAGACTCGCGCGGCTTCGATGGGTTAGACAGGTTTGGATAGGAATAGGCGAACTGATTTCAAGATGTCAGGATGTCACTAGGGAGATGACAATGGATTGGTTTGGGTCGCGTTTCTCTGAACCCAGACTCAACCAGTAGGTCAACCGGATTTTTTAGACGAGCAGACCCAACCCATATCGCAATATTATTAAAAAAAAATCAACAAATATATCTCCATAATAACATCCCTAAATTATCCATGTTATAAGAAGACATAATTAAAGACAAAACAAAAAACATTCATAAATTATCCATATTGTCCATGTTAAATACAAAATGACGTCGTTTTAAATGCGGGTTGAGTGGAAAGATAGCACATGTTGGATTTTTTGAAAAATCCAAACCCAGCTCAACTCGCTGCCTGTTTCAAAAGCAGGTGTGAAATTCACAACCGATCCAAAACCCGTCATCAATACTGGATTTTTACTCACTTTGACCAGTTGAATCGGGTTGATACCCGTGAGTTTGGGTTCAATTAATATGGAAGATGTTATATATACGTACCAGTCAACCATGTCAAGGGTCAGCATCTGAACTTTGGGAGTCCGAACTTCCGATTGGGTCCTCACCGTGCCTCCAAAAGACGGCGACAACACCACGTATCCCCTAATCTTAACCGGACCCAACTCCGGCGACCCGGATCCGACCCTCACCGCCAAGTTATGAGCGACGTTGCCTCCCGCCGATTCCCCGCAAACAAACACCTTCCCGAAGTCCGCCACGTCACTCAGCCACGTGTCGTCCCCAGCCGCGGCTCGATGCTGGAGCCACTCCAGAGCCGAGTGGCAGTCCTCGATCGCGGCGGGGAGCCGGCTCTCCGGCGCGAGGCGGTAGTCCGGCGAAACCACCACCGCCCGGAGCTGGGCGGCGAGACGGAGGCAGCAGCCGTGGTGGTACGGCTCGGTCCTGGAGCCGATGCAGAAGCCGCCGCCGTGGATGTTGTAGACGACGGGGAGTTTGGCGGCAGCGGCGGCGGCGGCGGAGGGCTTGTAGAGGCGGAGGGAGAGGTTGTTCTTAGGGTTAAAAACGTAATCTTTCCACTGAACGGATCCGTCTTCGTCGTCGTCGTCGGTGGCGGTCGGGAGGTTGTCTAGATTGGCGCGCCAGACGGAGCCGTCTTTGTAGACTCTGATGAGTCCCACGCAGTCGTCGAAGTCAACGGCGGGAGGTTTGGGCATTGTTGAGGTTGTTTTGACTTCTGGTGTTGGGGGGGAGGAGGTTGACTTTGAGAGAGGGAGAATTGTGCGACGAATGGGGGAGTAATCGATCATCTATTTATAGCAACGTAGATTTTTGGCTGGCCTTGTTGGCTGCCGGCGGCGAGCATTTGGTTGACCTTATTGTGTTCCGATATAGATGAGATATTGTATATGCAGACTGAAATTTTGGAGGAATGATTCGTTTGTGGCTATTAGTATAAGTGGTATATATAATAAATTTATAATTAATATCTCTCGTTGAGTTATTGGAAATCAACTGGTTCTGGATATGGTATAAGAGTCTTTTGTGATCAAGAGGTATTGTGTTCGAATCTTCGGTATAGCCTTGTTTGTTAAACCACAGGGTGTTCGATCTTGTGCAAACTTCAAGCCCTTTATGAGTGGCTTTCGTTGTTTTTTGACATGATATCAGAGCTTTCTGTAGTCGGGAGGCTTGTGTTCGAATCACGGTAACCTCATTTGTGAAACACATGGTACTCTCATATTGAGGGGGTGTGTTAGTGAGTGGTTTATAAGACTCATTATTGGATCTCTCTCAACAACTCGAGTTATTGGGATCATGGTATCCCGATTTGTGCAAAATTCAAACCCATATGAGTTGGCTTTCGTTTGAGGGGGTGTGTTAGTAAATAGTATATGATTCATAATTGAACTTGTCTCAACAACTCGAGTTATTGAGACCAGTTGATTTATGACATAGTATCAGAGTTGGTTTGTCCTTGAGGTCATGTGTTCAAGTCCTCATGACCCTCAATAGTAACTGTTGTCTTAAAATCACATGGTATGGCAGGCCTGTGCAAATTTTAAGCCCAGGAATTGGCTTTCGTTTGACAGAGAGTGTATGGAAGTGGTTAAGAATGAAGATACATATACGAACCTCTCCCAACAACTCGAGTTATTGGGACCAACTAGTTTATTACATGATATCAGAGCCTTTTGTGGTTGGGAGATCTTGTGTTCGAATCTCCGGTAAACCCCCATTTGTTAAAAATAGGGTATTCAGCTCTGTGCAAACTTCAACCTCTTGTAAGTAACTTTTGTTTGAGAAGCCGTGTTAATTAGTTAGTGATATAAGATTCATTATTGAATCTCTCATAACAACTTGAGTTAGTGGTATCAACTGATTCTTGACGAAATTAGAAGAGAATACATTTATTAATTATTTATATTTATTCCTTTGAAAGTGGACACTCGAACTATCATGAAGCATTGGAATTGGTAGGATAGGGACACTCGAACTATCATGAAGTATTGGATTTGGTTGGATGAGATTGTGTGGGAACGTTTTTCTGTATAATATGTATAAAGTATGGTTTTAAAATCACAACTATTCGGTAATCATAAATATGTGGATGTAATACGGCATATCAGAATCAATTTGTATTGGGTTTGAAGAAAACCTTCCTGTATCATTCTCGAACAATCATATATAAAGTTCTTTATATAATGTAAATTTCTCTTAAAATTTTAATGTTATTTGAAGTTATTTGCTATATTGTTTATAAAATTAATAGAAAACTAGCAAGATTTTCGGATAATATTTTAGGGATACGGAAGACCGGAGTGTTAATTGAGTGAGTCTAGACCATAGTTATAACAAATATTTAGATTGGTTCGGTACGGATAGGTAAACTACCAAAATCGCACCAAACTCATTACCCTCCTTGCATGGTTCTAGAAAAACCTACCCAAAGATAATACCGGTTGCATTTTCCCCAACAAAATCAATTCGAATTCGGTTGGGTACCAACAATGAAAGGTTTTTTTGTCATCCCTGAGTATTGGTTATGATCATGGTAGCACAATATATGTGAGTTTCATGACATTTGTGTCCTGAAAAATTAACGGTTAGAAATAACGTTTGGCTGGTAAAAAGATAGTCTTCGCCTAGATATCATCTTACTGACAAATCGTATTATTTTCAATTAAACGTTAGTTGTCGTCGTCGATGGTCCGGAGGTTTTCTAGAGTGGAGCGCCAGACCGAGCCGTCTTTGTAAACTCTGATGAGTCCAACTCAATCGTTGAAGTCAACGGCCGCTTTACACTATGTTTGGAAAGAGGTGCAAAGGGGAAGGGTAAACACAGTTTTCAAGGTATTTGCACCTGTATGGTTAATTTGTAACAGTAGGGGGTGCAAATCTACTATTTCGGCTTACCCCCAAATTGGGGTGCAAGGGAAGAAAGGAAAGAAGGGGAAAAGGAAAGGGGAGAGGGGGGATATAAATTTATTATTTTATTATAATAATTATAATTAATTTTTTATTATAATTATAATTAATGCAGATGATGTTCGGGGTTAACCGTTTGACTTTGCGAGCAAGTTTGTCAATATTCGTCTAGTCAAATCGATACTTCTTGGTTGACTCGAATTTGCATTGAAACTAGAGAGGAACGGTTTGATTGACTCGGTTTACTTCACTAAATAGTTAAAACTTACAGATTCGAACGTGTTTGACTAAGTTTGACCATATTGAATGTAAAGTTTGGCACGAGAACCTCCTTAGGATGACCACTTACGAGTTGGGTTCCGAACTTCGAGGTCGGTCGACAAATGATTATTATTTTTTTTATAATTAATTATTATTTGAGCATTAGTATATAATAATTATTTTTATTAAAATATTTTTATTATTATTATAGATTGATTTATATTTGTATTATTTTTTAATAATATTTTATAAATTTGACAACACTATTTTATAATAATATAATTACTTATTTTTCACTCTATTTGCACTCCTTTACTTTTTCATCCAAACAACAATTTATCTCTTAACTTGCACCTGTCGAACTTGCGCCCTTTGTTGTCAAACATAATGTTAGAGTTTAGACATGTTTGGTTTTGACTTTTGATGTTGGGGAGAAGGTTGACTTTGAGAGCGAGAATTGTGCGACGAATGGCCAGTAATCGATCATACAATTATTCAATTTGTATCAACGTAGATTTTGGCCGGCCTTGTTGGCTGCCGGCCGGCCGGTCGATTAGCCCGGCGTTTTTTTATTGTTATTGGGTGGTTATGCTGCTGATTGTCACCTTTTCGTCATTTAATTCCTTAATTATCCTCTGTCTATATTCACTTTGGCCAGCATTTGGTTGACCTGATTGTGTTCTAGTGTAGATTAGATATTGTATTTGTATATGCAGACAAAGTTTGGGAGGAATGATTCTTTGGTGCCAAATTAGAAGAGCATACATTTGTGTATTATCTTATCTATCTTCCTTCCTTCTAAGGATTCTATAATTGTCAAGGAAAGCTCAGGCTAATACCACCGGGACACACAAGGGCAGGTACTTCCCAAATTCTTCCCTTCTGGAAGTAAAAGTGGGTTCTTTACTATCACGGGGTTGGCGTGGCATCTTACATGGTCGAAAATTATTGGATAAAAGACTATAGGGTCTGGTACGACGGTAGATGGTGTTACGAAAAATTATTGATTCATTGCAACCAGGGGAAATGGTGTGTTGATTGTTTGCGACAATTCTTTGAAGAGTATATCGTCTGTGTCGTCATGGCCATACCTCTATCGATTCCTCTCATTCCTGATACGATGGTTTGGATGGGAGATCCCTCTGGAATGTACTCGGTTAAGTCAAGGTACCATCTAGTTGAGGAGCTGCGAAAGAAAAAGGAACTAGTGGTGAAATTAGGAGTCCTAGGGTGGGATATAGGGGGTTTGTGATGAGAATTTGGAGTGCCTCAATCCTTCCTAAATTGTGATATTTCTTATGACAGCTTGTTTACCACGTCTTACAAACTAGTGAGGTAATGATAATTAGAGGGTTGGAGCCTCGGGGGGCTTCTCGATGTCTGGTATTTGACTTCACTCATTATACTATCCACGTACGCGCGTTGTTATCACCATTCTGATTGCGTCTATCAGAGAGAGATTTGTAGTCTATGGTGTTTGCTCGTGATGCTAAGTTGGTTGTGGATAGACTTCTCGATGACGATGAACAATGATCTTTAGGCAAAATGACAATAATAATATCACTGGGACACTCGAAATATCACGAAGTATTGGATATGGCGACAATCCTAGCACAGGGTTTATGAGTTTCATTACATTTGTGTTCTGAATTTTGTAAATTTATCGTTAGATATAACGGTTGATCGAATGATGCTAAGTCATTGTTGACTTTCTATAGAGTGGCAAAAACGTTACTTATATTATGAATGTATATACATGTGGATTTCCTTTCTCCACCCATTCTACAGACCACCACCTTCTAGGGATGGCAACAAAACTCGAACCCACGGGTACCCACCCGACTCAATCCGGTCAACGCGGGTAAAACCCGTGTTGACGGGTTTTGGGCCGGGTTCGGGTTTAAACCCGCTACACTATTCACCGGGTCGGGTTTGGGTTTAGGTAAACCCGCCCCATGGGTACCCGCCCACACACATATAATTACTTTTCCGGTATATTTAATATTCTAAATAATATATCTTCCTTAAACAATTAATATTCTTTATGTTTGTAGAGACATATATAATTTGTTGTTTTTAATTGTTTAGAATGAAGTTGATATTATGAAGTGGAGAGTGAAGAAACTTAGTTGACGAGTAAGAAGCTTTCAATTAATCTTATTGTTTATAGATGTTTATCTTTAATTTTGAACAATTTGTATTGATCATTTGGGTTTGCTTGTATGCTCTAGATTGGTGTTTTTTGTATGAATAATTTGTATGAGAAAATTAATGTTAAACTTTTATTTTGAAAGAAACTTGTTATTGTAAATTTTTTACCACAAAAACCCACGGGTACCCACGAACCCGCGGATACCCAGCGGGTTGGGTTGGGTTTGAGTTTTTCAAACCCAACGGGTTTTACCCCGAGTTTTTTTGGCTGATAAACCCATGAGTTTGGGTTTGAGTTTGACAAAACCCGCCCCAATCCGACCCATTGCCATCCCTACCACCTTCCTAACCTCCCACCTATTCTATTTATTATGAG